GCTAAGCTAACTCTGTAAAAATCTCTGCATTAAACTTTGAGCGTATTACATTCAGAGATGTTGTTTATGTTCACACAGCTACATTACACATCAACTAAAATTTAACATATGATATTGTAGTGGACCACCCCTTTAAAAGAGGAAGAGCTACTCAGTATGTCCCGCCCTGTCTGCATGCTTCAGCTAAAGCCGCACATTAAACAAAACAGCACATTTATAGCCACTTCAGTAGACCTTTAAAGGCTGGTTTGGTGCCACATTGTTATTGTCCTAGTGATGAGCTAACAGTAACCGTTCACACAGACTGAGCTCCCGCTGCGAGACACTTTCGCTCTTCTCTCCTCCTGCGCTAGCTGTTTTTCTGTTACATTGGCATTTTGTGTTGCCATTTGCCTTGAATAGTTTGCTTTATTTACAAGCAGTAGTCACTCAATATCATCCTCCGGAGAAATAGCTATAAAATGAACACTAACCAATCTCTCGCCCCAGTTTGTAAACTCCACACACATTGACCTGTTCTTGAATGAAACCTATGTGAGTTATGAGGTATGACATACTGCCATGGATCTGTCCACAGGTTAACTGCACTGTAAAAATCTTTTTACTTGTCTACCTTTCTTTCCGTCCATCCATTCATCTATCCATTTATCCATCAATTTATCCATCCATCCATCAATCCACTTTTCTATCATCTGTCTGTCTGTCAGTCTGTCTACTTGTTTACCTTTCTGTCTATTTATCCATCTATCCTGGCTGTCTGTTTGTCTGTCTGTCTGTCTGTCTACTTTTCTACCTTTCTTTCCGTACATCCATTTATCCATCCATCCATCCATCCATCCATTAATCCACTTTACTATCGTAGGTCTGTCTACTTGTTTACCTTTCCGTCCCTTTATCCATCCATCCGTCCATCCTGTCTGTCTGTCTGTCTGTCTGTCTGTCTGTCTGTCTGTCTGTCTGTCTGTCTGTCTATCTATCTATCTATCTATCTATCTATCTATCTATCTGTCTATCTGTCTGTCTGTCTGTCTGTCTGTCTGTCTGTCTGTCTGTCTGTCTGTCTGTTTTGCAACACAATGTACTTTTGAAGCTTTTGTAGTCGAGAATGTAGTTGTTTAGATTGTAACTATGCAGTTTATTTATTTGGACAGTGCCTATTTTAAAAATAATCATAATTTCTGAGAGAGAGCGTGTCGGCAACCATTAGCCTATGTTTGAGCAAAGAGGGTTGAAGTTGTCAATCCACAAGATGCTGATGCAAGATGCTGACTATTTAGACATTACGCTAAAGAATCATTCAAACACTAGCTCTAAAGTGAATTAGTAAAGGTTTCTGCTGTTCTGATGTCAGCTGCAGATGTGAATGAAAGTAGTTCCTAATAAAAAAGTGTTTTCAGACCCTCCGTGTTTGATCTTCTTTTTTTATACACAATTGAGCCATCAAACTGTTGTATAAACACAATATATTTCTATCTATCTATCTATCTATCTATCTATCTATCTATCTATCTATCTATCTATCTATCTATCTATCTATCTATCTATCTATCTGTCTGTCTGTCTGTCTGTCTGTCTGTCTGTCTGTCTGTCTGTCTGTCTGTCTGTCTGTCTGTCTGTCTGTCTGTCTGTCTGTCTGTCAGATAACCCTTCTTTCCGTCCATCCATTCATCTATCCATTTATCCATCCATCTATCCATCCATCCATCCATCAATCCACTTTTCTATCATCTGTCTGTCTGTCTGTCTGTCTGTCTGTCTGTCTACTTGTTTACCTTTCCGTCCATTTATCCATCCATCCTGGCTGTCTGTTTGTCTGTTTGTCTGTCTGTCTGTCTTTCTTTCTTTCTTTCCATACATCCATTTATCAATCAATCCACTTTACTATCATAGGTCTGTCTACTTGTTTACCTTTCCGTCCCTTTATCTATCCATCCGTCTATCCTGTCAATCTATCTATCTATCTATCTATCTATCTATCTATCTATCTATCTATCTATCTATCTATCTATCTATCTATCTATCTATCTATCTATCTATATATCTATCTATCTATCTATCTATCTATCTATCTATCTATCTATCTATCTATCTATCTATCTATCTATCTATCTATCTATCTATCTATCTATCTATCTCTCTCTCTGTCTGTCTGTCTGTCTGTCTGTCTGTCTGTCTGTCTGTCTGTCTGTCTGTCTGTCTGTCTGTCTGTCTATCTATCTATCTATGTCTGTCTGTCTGTCTGTCTGTTAGATAAGCAGCAAACAGGAGTGTTGATTTGATCTTCTCATTATATGTGTGGTGCCAGGATCACCAGGATTGGTGTGTTTGGGAGGCTGATGAATCATATTTACAGTGATGATATTTCTCAGAGAGACTATTTTTCTTTCACTTATGCTTATCCACAGAAATTTTGCTTTTTTTTTTTTTTGCTACCCTAACAATTTTATAAATTTTGTAATACTAATGATCTTATATATTTTGCAAATTACAGAAGACACCCACTGAAATGGAGTTTAGTGTAGGAACTTATAAGTGTAAGAGTGGACTTTTTATTTACATTTGTTATGCGTTCTATGTACAATGATTCATTGGATTTACTTAAAGTAAGTGGTTGCAAACTATTTAATATGTGCTGAATTTAAACAAACAAATTTAATTCAGTAATGTTCAACTAAATTTAGTAGTTTAAATAAAGTAGTTTATCATTTAATTTAAGCATGTATTCCAGTGATCTGAAAGATGAATTATCAGCTTTATTACTCCAGGTTTCAGAGTCACATGATCCTTCAGAAATCACTCTAATATTATTATTATTAATGGTAATCAAAGCAATAATGACTGGGCTAATAATTTCATTTGAAAATACATACAATAAATAATAATTAAATATTTAATAAATAGGTATTTAACAGTTTAACTTTTTTTACATTTATTAAATGCTGCCTTGATAAACAGAATAATTTTCTTAAAAACAAAAAAACAAACAAACAAATTTTGACCAGTAGTGTATTATATATATTATACACATAAATGTCGACCACTGAAATAGAGACTAAGCCGAAGTAGAATGAATGAATATATACATAACCACAATATGTTATATCTTTATAAAGATAATCTAGTTTATAAATGGGGTGGTCAGTTTCTCTCCTCCTCAATCCCCTTTTCTGAATGCAGACAAAGTGAAAAGCAGTGCAGCAGGTCTCTTGCCCTATCTATTTCAACCATTAACCGTGCTGGGAATCTGTATACAGATACACATATGATTTTAAACATGGGATAACCCAGCAGCACAGATATAGGCGATGTGTCTGAATGGTAATGAACTCAACTGATAAAAGACAAAGTCTGCCATTCTATAATTCTCGTAAAGCTCTCCTGACAAAAATGCTTGCTACACACAAACACCCTTGTTTGGAAAATCATGCAATAAACCCCATGGATCACGGAAAAAAATGCGTATGACCATTCATGTACGACCATATGCTGTGGTCTCACAGCTTGGCAGGTCTGTCTTCTAAAAAGCATGTGCTGTCATGAATAATTAATGGATCTTCTCATTGGATAAGAAAACTCAACTATGAATATTAATGAGAAACCAACGCGTCCTCACGTCACTTGCAGTTTTGCGCTACATCACCGATTTTGATCTCACCCTAAAAATTATTTTAAACCCGGAAGATGAAATTAGCTGACAAAAACTCAAAATTACCCAGTTTTCCCCACAATTAAAGCTGACAGGTGCTAACATTAGCCTCTTTCACACATACAGACCTTTCCGGAAAATTACCGGCAATTTTGCGGAAAGGTGTGTGTGTGTGAACAGGTCCTTTTTGAAAATACCGGTAAATTCGTTCGGGCTATTTTCTAGAAAGAGAACTTGTAACATTACCGGTAATTACCAGAATGCTGCGCTGTGTGAACGCAGAAGGAAGATTGCCGGAAAGAGCGCATGCACGTCTAAAATGTGCTGACGTGAGACGTCTGCTTTAACCAATCAGAACAGTCAGACGCATTCACGTCCGCTCGGTTTATGAGAATAAAAACCTTTAAATATTTTCCCAGACACATTTAGCTGCTAGAAGTAGCCAGACAATGTTTATATGTTCATCTTAATGCCAACTGTGTAAATAACTATCGATAAGATGCTTATGATAAGCCGTTGTTTGTTTACCTTTAAGCTCTGCCTCCTTCAGTTGCTTGACATGTCGTGTACGTGCTCATGAGCGCCAACACACATACACACATTTCATGTACATCTGGACATGTGAAAGTGTTCTTCCGTATGTTTTCATCGAAGTTGTTCACAATACTGATCCATCCACAGAGTTTGTAATGTAGCCAAATGTTTACAAATACAAGCGCAGCCGTTTAGAGGTCATTTCTGGTTGATGATGTCAGAATTTACCGGTGTTTTGGAATGGATGTGTAAATGGTCTTTTCCGGAAAAAGTCTGTAACGTCCTCGTCTGTGTGAACAGCGCTTTTTTGAATTTACCGGTCAAGTCGTTCCAGAAATTTTCCAGATATTTACTGGTATCACTGTGTGAAAGGAGCTATTGTCTTAAGTGATGCTCAACAGACACAAAACAAAAACCTCAAAAAAGAACTCCAGGGTTTCTTGAACCTTTAAAAAAAAGGAAGAAAATCCAATGAATATTTGTTTTCAGTGTACAAAACTCCCAAAAAAAACATTTGAAGTGATCACCTATTTCTTAAGCTCCCAAGTCTTCAGAAGTGTAAATATGTCTGTTATATTTTCACAAAAATCTGATTTCTGAGGATGAAGATGAAGGAAAAGATGAAGTCTAAATTAAGTGAAGCCTTTCCTTCTTTGCTTCTTTGCAAGCACTGGTATTTTCTTTAGGAAATGCACATTTTTCTTTATGATTATTTTATGATTTCTAAGATTACAAAATGTTAAAATAGCAATGTGTGAATAAAGTATCACAGAGGACTTTTAACTTGTTGCTAACTGTTTATTTCTGCTTATATTTGCAGTGACCTTCTGTCATCCAATTACATTGAGAGGCACTTATCTGAAGAGGGGAAGCCAGTTGTGAGCAAAGTGAGTATTACCAAGTTTTGTTTTAATAAGCGTGGACGCTATAGGCAAGCTTGTATTTGAATGAGGTTATGCAAGAATATACACAACATTTAAAAGGCGTTAAGTCCCAAAAGACCTTTTTTTCTGGAGCTTACAAATTAGGTTGGTTACACTTAGCATGTTTTTTTTTTAGATCACTTAGCATTGCAAACTATAGTAACTTACAGAAATTTGACCAAATAATGCATGCTAAAGCCTTGACCTGCTTTTCCCCCTCTATGAGCGCATGTTTGACACTGCGACTGTAGATTTAGTCTGATCAGATCTTTGTCTTTGTGGCGCACTGGGACTCTCGACTTTGTTCTGTCAATTCACTGAGACGTGTGTGTTTGTGTGTGTGTGTGTGTGTTCAGATGGGACACATCTCACCCTGAGCAGAAGGTGTTTGCTTGTTTTAGCCCAGTGGCAGATTGCTCCTGTCACACACTTACACAGGGGCAGGGATACAGTGTCCTATTTGTGTGCTCCATGTTGGACTCCACCGTTATCTCAAGGTGCGAGTGTGTTTTATATAGATTATGCACAGTGCACTCATTCAGCTTCTCAGTTATTCTTTTAAAACTGTAACGAGCTGTTTTAGCAGAGCTGATAATTCAGAAAATATGACTGAATTTTGATGCAGATTCTCTAACATTTGGTCTGTGTATTTTTTTGTATTGATATGTATAAAGCCGTCATTCAGATCCACAGAGACCAGCTGTAGAGCCTGAGGAAACACAGAGTACAAGACCTTTTCATAAGCTCTGCTGTTTCAAAGGATGAATGAAAAAGTAGAACAGCAGGTATCTTTGAAAAAGAAGGGAATAACAGGAATGGATGAAGAGAGAGATAAAACAGCCACTGAACATATCTGTCTGTGTGTCGCTTTGTCTGTCTGTCTGTCTGTCCGTCCGTCTATCTGTTTGTCTATCTTTCCGTCTGTCTGTCTGTCTGTCCGTCCGTCTATCTGTCTGTCTGTCTGTCTGTCCGTCCGTCTATCTGTTCGTCTATCTTTCCGTCTGTCTGTCTGTCTGTCTGTCTGTCCGTCCGTCTATCTGTCTGTCTGTCTGTCTGTCCGTCCGTCTGTCTGTCTGTCCGTCCTTCTGTCTGTCTGTTTACTATTTACTTTTCTACTTTTCTTTCCATCCATCCATCCATCCATCCATCCATACATACATACATACATACATACATACATGCATACATCCATCCACTTTTCTTTTTCTTTCTTTCTTTCTTTCTTTCTTTCTTTCTTTCTTTCTTTCTTTCTTTCTTTCTTTCTTTCTTTCTTTCTTTCTTTCTTTCTTTTTCTATCTATCTATCTATCTATCTATCTATCTATCTATCTATCTATCTATCTATCTATCTATCTATCTATCTATCTATCTATCTATCTATCTATCTATCTAGCTATCTATCTATCTGTCTACTTGTTTACCTTTCCGTCCATCCGTCTTTCCATCATCAATCCACTTTTCTATCGTCTGTCTGTCTGTCTGTCTACTTTTTTACCTTTCGGTCCATTCATCTATCCATCCTGTCTGTCTGTCTATCTATCTATGTACTCGTCTACCTTTCTTTCCGTCCATCCATCCATACTTTCATCAATCCATCCATCCATCAATCTACTTTTCTATTATCTGTCTGTCTGTCTGTCTGTCTATCTACTTTTCTACCTTTCTTTCCATCCATCCATCCATCCTTCCGTCCGTCTGTCTGTCTATCTATCTAATTTTCTACATTTCTTTCCATCCATCCATTCATCCATCCATCCATCCATCCATCCATCCATCCATCCATCCATCCATCCATCCATCCATCCATTCATCCATTCATCCATCCATCCATCCATTCTTCTATCAATCAATCCACTTTTCTATCGTGTCTGTCTGTCTACATTTCTACCTTTCCATCCATCCATCAATCAATCCATCCATCCATCCATCCGTTCATCCACCTGTCTGCATGTCTATCTATCTATCTATCTATCTATCTATCTATCTATCTATCTATCTATCTATCTATCTATCTATCTATCTATCTATCTATCTATCTATCTATCTGTCTGTCTGTCTGTCTGTCTGTCTGTCTGTCTGTCTGTCTGTCTGTCTGTCTGTCTGTCTGTCTGTCTGTCTGTCTGTCTGTCTGTCTGTCTGTCTGTCTGTCTGTCTGTTCTTGTGACCTAATTTATTAGTTTTGTGATTTTTCTCTGAAACCATATCTCTCTGTGGATGTGGGAAAGGACATCTTGGGCTTTTGTGAGATTGCAGATATTTTGGGTTTTGGCAACAACAACTTAATTATAATTGGCTGCAATAATTGGTTTTTAAAAATAGCTGACATAATAATTAGGAAAAACATAAGGGAAGAGGAGCATCAGACGGATTTCAGCGTGATTGTTAAATGCGAAGAAACGTCATTTCTCATTCAATCCTGTGTAGCTCGTTCTCACCTGCTGAAGAAATACTACTTGTAAACAAAGGCACTATTAAACTTATGAGAGTTTGAGTTGGAATGTAAAACAATGCCAAAGATAACAGTATATTGGGAAAAATATATAAATTTTTATACAAAAGATATGATTTCAATACATGATCCTTTGGAAATTAGTCTAATATGTTGATTTGGTGCTAAAGAAGAAATGAATTTTATTATCAATGTTAAAAAGGTTTATATCTATTAATTAATTTGTACCATATTGCTATTTTTTCTCAACTTTTCTCAAAAATTCAGTATATCCTTAAATTATTTTCCTTAAAGTTCGTATTTAAAACTAGTTCTATATTGACAGCCCTTCCATGATCTTCTTCTAGCTCTGTAGACTGCATTCTTTTTTAGATTTGGACACAGCATGTCTTTCTGTGCTTCAACACACTGATGCACGCTGGGTCATTAGTCTGAAAGCGACTGTCTCTACAACAACCACACTCTTCAGGAATGTGTGTGTGGTAAAGACTGCCCTCGGCTCTTGATTAGCAGAGAGCTCTTGAGGACAGAAAGTGCTACATGTGGAGAAAAAAAGCAGAAATGCTCCAGTACAAGCTGGAAGAAAGGAGAGCAGCAGAGCAATGGATAAAACTCAGCGAATGAAGCTTTTTTTTGTCCACTGCACACACACACACACAGAGAGAGAGAGAGAGAGAGAGAGAGAGAGAGAGAGAGAGAGAGAGAGAGAGAGAGAGAGAGAGAGAGAGAGAGAGAGAGAGAGAGAGAGAGAGAGAGAGAGATGAGCTCCTGATTTTTTTGACATTTTCACTTAATATTATTATTATTTTGATTACATTAGACACTTAATTCTGACAAATTATAAATAAGAAAACATCTTTCAACAAGATTTACTGGATTTAACCAAGAAAAACAACAGTTGAAAAACCAAAAGGACCACATAGGTGCTTCAGAGAAGAACTTTCCAGAACAAAGACCTACAAGAAGTCAATCCCAGAATACATCCTCAGAGAAAACCAAAGGAGGACATCAAACATCAGTCTTCAAATAACGAGGAGGAAAATAAATTAATGAAGGTACTCTGGAAATATTCAACAATGATTACTTCAGGAAGAAGAATATGTCTTATTTTTATCGTTTTCCCTGCATGGCAGTATCAGTGCTCATTTTGATCTTGTTTTTACAAATTACGCACTGATTTACATCAATATTTTATTTTTATTGACATTTTTGATATTTTGATCCACATTTATATATAATTCATAGAAGAACTATCAAAACTTAACAAAGTGACAGTTTTTTCAGTTGCTTGTTTACATTTTAAAATCAGCAATGGCCACTGCAGCATGCAGGCCCCGCCCCTTTACCTACCCTCAGAAGAGCTCTGAACACTCTAAACAGCTCCACAGACAGAAGCAGATCAAGGAGAGACCTGAAACACTGTTTGCAGACTATGAGCACAGTAAACTCAACAACCTGCTTTTTTATACTGAAAACAGCACATTATGGCATACTGCTTTTTGCCAACATTTTGCCTTTACCTCAAAAAGAGGGATCTGTAAAGGCAGACAAATACTAGTATTTGAAGATGCTGAAGAGAATGAGGATTCAAGAAGCCTATCTCTAAACCTATACCACAATGGCACTGTCATGATCCAGGGCTCAGAGCCCGCCCTTCAAACATTTGTAATGGACTTTTCACAAATTAAAAATCAGACACAGCTGGATAAAAATTTCAAACAGGACCGAACAGAAATAAAATCAAACACTTCTCCTACTCAAGACACCCAAAAGAAGACAACAGCTGCAACTCCCCTAGTTCAATCTCCAATGTCAAGAATGAAAGAAAAATTCTCACTCCTAGAAATAGAGATGGTTGAACTAAAAGAATTAATATTATCCCACTTAAAAGACAACAATGACTTGCAACAGCTAAAACAAGAGACTGAATCCCTACAGAAAAACAAAGAGCAGTTGTCAAAAGAGCTCCAAGAAACAAGAGAAGAGCTGAAAGAACTAAAAACAACATTTAGAAGACAAATAACAGAGATTAAAACAGAAATGCAGGAAGAACTCTCAGCCTTAAAATCAGAACTTCAAAAGAAAGATGAACTCATTGATAATATGAAGAACCAGCTTCTCCATTCATCATCGTCCAGAGACTCTCAGACTGAACCCCTCATCTGTGAAGAGACTCTTACTGAGATCCAGTCCTTACAGACAGTCGATGAGCTCCAGCCCCCAACAGACCCACAATCCATCAACACCACCTCACATGCACAGGCTCTTATCCTCATCGACTCAAATGGAAAATATCTAAAAGAAAAACTCTTATTTCCAAAACTCAAAGCACAGAAAATATGGTGCCCAAACACAAACAAAGCTCTTCAGATATTATCTGACAAAAACCTGAATGAATCCTACAAGCACATCATCATCCACACAGGGACAAATGACCTGCGAGCAACCAGAGGCAACGTGGCTCCTCTGCTGCGAGAAGTAGCCATCAGAGCCTCACAGCGCTTTCCTGAAGCTAA